AATCTTCCCCTTCTGTTGGTCAAAAAATATTAAATAATCAGTCTTTGAAATATATCATATCCATTCATTCATAAGAAAAAAAGCAAAGCTGCGATTAAAGTAGCATATTTCAAATCATTCAAAGTAATTGATGAATCAATTTTTCTATTCGATTTTAAAGGCAAGACTTTTTCAATACCTTGTATCGCAAACATTCCAACCAAGTGCAACCATCACATTCTTTATACAAATTTCTGATGGATTCTCAAACAATAGTTTCAACTTCACTCGCATATTTGAATTTTTTTTTTTTTTTGTAAAATTTCGTTTTCATTTCTCCTTTGTCTCTATGCTTCTGGTCAAACCATTTTGTTAAATGAAATAAAAAATAAATTGTATTTTTATTTTTCCCCCGCTCTCTATAAATGATCAGGTTTCCTGAACAATGTATAAAAGACTCGCCAAGCAAAATTTTTGCAGGTTATACCCTCAAGTAATTTTTACCTTAATGTTGAATAAACTCATGAATTGTTATCTACATTTCATGGTTCAACATTAAGGTAAAAAACTAAACTTTTACCTTGAATATTATTCAGTTACAGTAAATTACTCTTAAAACAGTGTTTTTGGTCTCACATCTTATCAACTAATCTAGTTGAAGATATGCTATGATCTGCAGTTTTATGTTAACTTAAAAAAGCTCAATTCCTCAAGCCTCATAGAGATTTAATTATAAATAAACATAAGTTTCCCAAATAGTCTTCTTATATCAATTATCCTTATTAAAATGGAAACAAAATAATAAAAAAAGAATAAACTTTATTCAAAACCCTCTTTTTATTTGTTTATCGCAACCATTAAATTATGTATATGTATGGCTGATTGATTGGTCTGTGCAAAATGTTTTTTGGTTGTTTTTTTTTTCTTTTATTTATTTATTTATTTTTTTTTTTGCTTTGTGAAACAAAGTTTAACGTATACAATGTGTTGTATCGCTACATCTAATTCATTTTAAACAGGCACTGAAAATGTAAGCTTCCCTGCTGATCATCTTCATAATGGCTTTGAGTTACATACATTTTCCCATAATGAACCGCAGAGGTAAGAAAACAAAAGTAGACATGGAATTATGAACTATAGAGGGCAGCAAACAATGTAGTACTTTAAATTCTTCAATGAAATCCAAGAAGTATAGTGTACTGTATGTAACAGTTGGTGTCACCATTCATTTTTGTTTGTTTTTTTTTTACTATATTAAAATGAATGGAAATGTACATTTGTAAAACAATACTGCTTTTTAATTTATCAGTTTAAACGTAGTCAATGTACCTTTCTGGCATATCAATCAAATTTACCAACTAACCAATCAGAACACGGCCAGGAATATGCATGTCTTACAAATACACGTGTTGTCCCACAAAGGCACATGTTTGCCTATGTGTTTACACTGTGGGACCTTCACAATAATATCCAAGGGAGTGGGGCTTAATAGCAAATTGCATTTTATCTATGTAAATTATTTGCAGAATGTAGAGTATTCTCCATTGACGAATAATAGACAACATTGTTATGCTGCTTCCTGTTATGCTTTCTCTCCATGTCAGTTCTAAAATGTAAAAATAAGATGTTTAATACTGAATTAAACAACATCCTATCACTTATCTACAGTAAGAATATATGCCACCATTTAATTGCTAACCCTTACCTTATCTAATCTTATCCATCTCTAGTTATTCTTTTTCTTCTCTTACCTGGGCATTGTACGTATATGTAATGTTTTCCATTGTGCAGTTTTAATTGTGTTTTTAAAAAATAAAAGTTGTGCGTATGTGTGCGTCCGTAGGCCCAATTCTGCACTTCTGCATTCTTTTGTGCTTGGTATAATGTATACTAAAAAAGGGAAAAATAATTACAAAATTTGGGTAAAAATTATGAATTTGCCTTTTGCCTTAACATATTGACAGCAATACTGGCCCCGCTAATTGTCATGTATTGCTGTACAACTGCTTATTTTACACTTGACTAATCATTTTTTTAATGCTTTCAGTGTATTCAACTTGTAGTGTTATAAACTCAAACTGTTGTTCTGCGATGGCATAGTTTGCTAACAAAAATGTCTAAAACTATTTATATGTTGTTGCAGCACCTACTACTGTACTAGTAACCAGTTATTTTCTTTCAACTTAACATATTAATGTTAGAGAATGTAAATTAACTTTATCAATAATTAGTCGAATAGCCAAGCAGTTAAGGCAGGGCCACGGCAATGTACAGCCATAATATCGGCGCTGGTTCTAGTGGCACTCTAGCCTATGGTTCTTGTGGTGGAACAAGTCTTCTGGAATAAGGACTGTAAACTGTAGGCCCAGTTTACAAAATTGGCTCATGTATACTTTAAAAAACACAGCACATATTTTGAGACAATGAGGGGTTACCCTGGTGTACTCGTCCATACAGCCTGTGTTACCCTGCAATTATGGATCATTAGGTCCTTTCCAGGATGTACCTAAAGCAGAATGTAAAATGTTCTCTGCCATTGCCTATAGCCAATGCAGATTTTTAACAGTCTAGATTACATTATGTCTAAAATCTTAGAATCCAATAATGTATGAAGTTTTATATACATAACCATATTTTTCCTTTTTTTTTCTTTAACTAGAAAGTGCATAGAGGTTATAGCGATATGGCCTATGCAAGAATTATGCAACTTCTTCAGCATAAAAATAATCATCTTCTCTCTCCTCTTCATTATCATCATTCTCGTAATCTTCACTGTCCATATTTTGATCCTCATTATCATTATCTACACAATCTTTTTGACCATCAGTCAACACCATTATCATCATTGATTAATCAGTGTCATTATCAGTGTCATTGTCATCTTCATTATCATCGTCGTTGACATCATCGACATCATCATTATCATCTCCATGTTCATCATTATCACCACTATCCTCCTTATCCTTATCACCATAACCATCATCATGAAAAATGAACATCACATTTCCAGATCCATATCATATTATTCAATGATATTCTTAATAATCATCATAGTCATACGAAAGCATAAGGCTAAATAAATATTTTATTCTAATACTCCTGAAATACACATTTTTTTCCCCATCTTCCGCTCTTTGGTCTGGATTTTAGTTAAGATACTATTACTACTTTCGTTGTCTCGATGCTACATTTTGTGAATGCATGCAGTCTTGGGTCTTAAGTTACTTTAAAGAAGGAGTGGGTTATATCAAGATTATTGACTTAGATCAGGCTACAAGGGAATTTGATCAAACAGAGCTCACCAGTAAGAACAAGTACTTATCCTCTAGCAAATTCTGTTTATAGGATTGGACAGATGGTTTTGTTTGAATCTGAAGGAAATATTTCATTTGTTTGATATTTTGAAGCATGCTTGAATATTGCTAAACATACACTTCAAAACTACATGTTCTTTTTTTTTAATCTGAACTTTCAACAATATTTTACATATATTTATATATACTGTACTTGACATATATATATATATATATCTATCTCTATGTTTATCTGTTATTTTGACTTTCATTCTTAATACTTCAATAAAGTATGGTAAGCAAGAAAGCAAACTCCTATTCTCTAATTGGACTTTTTACCCTGTCAAAATAAAATTCGTACAGTTCAATTTTATTTTACAACAGAAGAAGGATAGGCTTATTTCAACATTATCATCATCATCAACATTGTTATCATCATTATCATCAGTTTCATTGTCATCATCATGGTTTTCGTCATCGTCATCATCACCATTTTTATCATCATCTCCGTCACAGCCATCCTCCTTTGGTACCATACTAGTTTTGCTGTATGCCGGCTTAGGTCTTAAGTTACTTAAGAAAGAGTGGGTTGTGTTAAGATCATACTTACATCAGGCCTAAAACTTCAATGGAATTTTATTAAATGGAGCTGACCAGTTGGAACAATTGTTCTCTAAATAATTCTTTTCACAATTTTTTATAGCAGGTTTCATATTAATTTAAAGGGAATTTTTCAGATGTTTAATATTTTAAAGAATGCTTGCGGCTTGGTAAACATAAACTTCAAAACCAATATTCTTACTTATTTTAAATTTGAACTTTCAGTTTCATCCTTTTGCAACAATATTGTACATATATTTATGTACTTGATGTTTGACATTTGTATCTCTATCTTTTATTTTTACTTTCATTTTCATCACTTAAATAAAGTATGCTAAAGAAAGAAAACAAACTCCAATTCTCTAATTATTCTTTTTCCCAATGTCAACATAAAATACGTACAATTCAACTTTATTGTACAACAGAAGCAAGATAAGATTATTTCAACATTACATGCACAATTAGTTTTGTAATATACTATTTTCAAATTAAATGAATATAATTTGATTTTTTTTTTTCGTGTGGACAAATGACAAGTATGTTATTTTTCTATATTTCAATCATTTTATTTATTTATTTACTTGTAGACAAAAAAACCATACCAATGTCTTTTAAAATTTTTCACTTCACTCAAGGCACCTACTTAGTAATATTAGCCTTTATTTCAGCTGATTGGCGAAAATCCCACCAACAACTATGTTAGGCCTACCTCTTTGAACTCACCTACCATATCTGATTCTGAACATACTCCTCTAAAATACTTAAAGCCGGATACTGCCGGCGGAAGTGGTGCAACATGGATAGGTAAGAAAAAATCTAATTTGAAGGACCTTATCTGTTGTTGCCTGTGTTGCATCCTCACAGTCACATCTCAGTTCTGTGTCGTGTGTGTTTCCAGTTTGGTTTTCGCATCACCACATTTCATAGATCATTTTCCACTTTAGATTAACCACATCGGTTTTGTAGGCAGGCTTTACAGAAGTCACTTCTAGAAGTGGAAATATCGGCACCACTGTTCAAAGGCTAAAGTACAATAGGTGTTTTTATGGTCACCCATGCAATTTTCAGCCTATGGTAGGTGGTAATTGTAGACAGCAGAGTAGGGATAGCAATAGTATTAGTATTTCTATGGTATTAGTTACCATAAGTAAGGTCAAAGTAGCAGTCTACTTGTGTAAGCCCTGGATATAATCCCTATCAAGACTCAAAACTACTTCACCATAACTTCATATACTGTCTTCTAAGAATCATCTACTGTACATCAATGTGCTACTTTGGCATAATCAGTGTAGTAATTGTTCAATCCTAGTATGCTACATGTATACACACATACTTCAAAATACCTCACAGGTAAATAAGAAGCATCACTTTTAATCGAAAATAATGCCTAAAATGACATATTCAAGTTCTTGTCTAAGGGATTTTTTTTTTGCTTCTTAATGTTTTGTCGCATTATTTTTATATTAACTTACAATATTGAAAATTTGTGCAAAATAACTGTTGCAAGACAAAAAAGCGGCAATTATCACTACAGAAGATGTACGTATTTACTTGTAAAACACGCACATTTTCTATTGATGAACATAAGCAAAGGTTTGCCCTTTGGTACATTCGTAGCAGCAATTGATAACACCTACATCAGATAAAAGAAGCAGCAAGTATAGTAGATGTAGCAGCAAAAGTGTAATGACATTATCATTATTGCTGTGTTAACATAATTTTTACCAATTATCAATGCATCATAACCTTTAGCTTGTGAGGTATTTAATTTTAAATGCTTAATTTTGTTAATATTTTAGTACTGAAATTTTTGACATGAATTCTTGATTTATGATTGTTTCTTATTTTCTTTTCAAAGCTTTCATATTTGATAACCCAAACTTCATGGTAATTTTTATTAAAAACAGAATATTGATGTCATTTTTAATGTAACCCTGTTGCCTAGCCATATAACTCCATTAGTCTTACATTATAAGTGTATAGTGATGGTTGTAATATGTTAAGTGCCATACTTTGGAGTTATTTGGAAAGTTCAATGGATTATAAGAAAATGAGAGTTGTGTTGATATAAACAGTAAATACATTACGTTTCATTTGTACTTTCCAATTATGTACAATTAACAAAGTGATATAATCTTAGTAATGAATGTAAATGAAGTGATATAGTCTTAGTAATTAGAGTTTAGAGATGTCATATTACATGTCGGCATTTCTTTATGTTTATGTTATCATCAATATTTTTGTAAATCTGTGGCTTTAAGGAATTGCTTGAGCTTCCATTTAAAATGGTGAACGCTCGTGTGTTTGTCTTAAACAATGTCTGTGTCCACACATGCGTACTAATGTACAGTAATACATGAGAGCAGACATGGGGCGGATAAATAGTTCCACTGAATGGGTTAAAATACTAAAAATGACCATTAAGATTTCATTGTAATAGGGATTTGTTCCACATCCTTAATTTTTGAACCCTTCCGTCCCCGCCCTGCCCAGGCCAAAACGAGCCTATGTCCCTGTAAAGATTATATTAATGATGATAACTAAACACATCTTTGGAGAATAATATGTATTGGCTTTAAAGTAATATGAAATCGTGCATAGTAATTTGCCATTTACAATGAATTGCCCGAAAATGTCGAATGAAATTGTTAGAGAACATTATGTTAATGATTGCCAGATGATACCTACCAAACAAATAACACATCCCTAGAGATGTATAATGAGATGTGGCCACAATATTTATTTTATTTATAAGTAATGCAATACACGGACCTGGGCTGAAAACATAGTGTGGGCCATGTCACAGCCCGCCAACAGTGCAAGATGGGGCATTGAATCATAGTCGACAATGATCAGTGAGTGGCTCAAACTCCGCCCATGAAGCTGAATGGAAATCCCTGCACCAAACCGACTTTCAGTGTAATGTAATAATGCAGTCAAATTTAAAGAAGTAAGATAAATCCCATGTGTAATTAGCAACCTACAAAACATGTAAAAGTAACATATTTTGATGTCAATATTTGAATTTTTTTAACACTGTTTAATAATGTTTTATTTTTTAAACTTTAGCTTTATTTTAATAATATTGCAATGTGTGCCCAGCTTAAGTATTTCATTTTCTTATGATGTTTTTTATATCTTCACAGCTTTTACAAGTGTTAAACTGCTTCTGTAAATGCTTTTGCTTCGCTATGGTATTTTCCCATATCGTTTTTGTTATACAACACTTATAGATACCAATAAATCTTGTTTTTTCCGATTATATCATCACCCATCTACAGATATGCGTGTTCAGCAGCAGTGTTCTCAACCCTGCGAATCCATTGCTTTCTGTCAGGGACAATTATATTAAATAGTTTTGTTGATTTAGTTTTTCTATTTTATGTTATCTATTTCTTATGCTTCATCTGTTTTTATTGTAATATTACTTTCTTCAAGGCGTTTGCATTCATTTCATTTTAAATCTGTTTATTTCAGATTTCAGTGATTAAAAAAAACTAGCTTTCTCCACTTTCCAAATAATTTAGAGTTTAACATTTGTATTGTGTCACACTATTCTAAACTGTCTAACCTGTTTAGTAGGGTTTTTTGTTTTGCATTTTTCATGGATTTTTTTTAAACTGTACTGTATTATAGGCATAATAATTTCTTTAATGGTTTTACTTTCCTTTCTTACAGTTACATGAGTTAAGAGAAAAAAAGAAAGAATTGAAAGTAAACGGGGAAACAGTTTCAGAGGAGAATCTTAATATTGGTACCTCATACATGCTTAAATATAAAGATTCAGACAACGAATGCAAGCAAGTGTATCTGACGGTGCTATGATGCCAGTGTGACCAAACTCTCAATAATTCTAACAGTATTGTCTCAAGATGCCCTCAACTTGCATGGCCAAGTAAAGAAGAAGGGGGTAAATAAGGGGGTAGAGAATAGAGCATTTGTGATGCTGAAGGAAGTTTTAGTTTCAAACAGTGGCTGCACCAGCGAGGGGTACAATGTCCTCGACAGGATGGCCAAAGTTTCAATGGAAAGGTCACGTCAGGGGAACAAGGAGACCACATCTACTTCAGTCTCCTCATGATTGGAGCAAATTTTATTAATTCTGTATGTACCACTAAGTCCCCGAAAATGCCACTCTCATACTGTAAAAATTCTCTTTCAAAGCAGTGTCCTCTGACGAAATGATTGGCTGCTTTCCCAACTTGGGGTTTAGGGATCCTAGTAAATCATGTTTAAATTCTAATTGTTTGTTTGGTTGCTTATTATTCCACAACTTATAATTTATGAAGTAAAAACCATAAAAATTTTGTAAAGAGAAATTCTAATAATGCTATCACCAAATCTGAGAGGTAGTAATAGTGAAAATGTTTAATTTATTATAAGAACAAAAGATTATATTTTTGAAATTATGATTAAAAGATAAATTGCAGACATATTTTAAAAAGTATATTTAATTAACCATAATATTTAACACTCAAAATCATTGGTAGATTAGTTTTGTTATATTTCTTTAGTGTAAGATTTTACTGTATATAAATGATGCCCATCTTCTGATTCATAGAATTATTTATTCTTTTACAAATCTACAAAATATTTCTACAAACAAATTACGGTACAATTGTTGGTTAGCCATTGGTTGAAAATGAGCCTCAGACTCTTCTAGGTGAAACTGCAAAATAGGGCTACACTAATAACACAAAGAATTTGATACTATTTCATTTATTGTGCTTTATAGACATAAATAATAAATATTTTTCTTGGCAGCAGTCTAAAACTGAGACATAAATATTAGGACTATAGTAGGATTAGATTTATAGGGTGCATTAATTTGAGTAGCTTGGTGGTTAAGATGCTTGTTTTCCAATCCCAGAATCCTGTGTTCAATTCCTGTCACTTTTACAGGATTCTTTTTTCTCACGACCAAAACATCTCCACTCTTAATGAGACTTATATAAATAAGATTTAGACCATCTTGTGTTAATGTTTGCTTTGTGAAAGGGAATGTCACATATGAGTAGGACAGTGATATAAAATAAATATATAATATAAATATAAATAAAGGTACAAATTAATAAAGAAATGCAATTTAATGCGATTACAAAAAACATAAATAATTTGTATTGTACTTAATACCACAAGCTAGAATTCATACTAATAGATAGAGGTAATGGAGATGAAATTATTTTTGTATTAATAGAAATATAGTATGATTGATTTACATATATTTTGAAATATTTTGTTAGATTATTTCATTGTGACCATTAAATTTCTAAATTCTTTATAGTGTTTTTAGTTCTAAAGTTGACTGTTACACTTACACTTGTTTATAATATAGTGTCAATATTAGTTATCGCAAGTTTGTGTATTATGGACCTTTCCGTAAAGCCCCGCCCCCTTGGATGCTGTTGCTGTGGTCCAACAAAAATTAGCGTAAATGTACGTTAACATGTGCGTATGTGGGACAACACGTGTGTTTGTGAGACACGCATGTATTCCTGGCCGTGTTCTGATTGGTCAGTTGTTAAGTTTGATTGACACTCTGGAAAGGTTCGTAGTAGTTTTTACGTTAGTTTTGACATTTCTGTTCTCTCAAAGTCCATGAAGGTACATGTAAGCTGGACAAGCTTTGTATTTTTCATATCAAAATTATACATATACGTACGTATGTATGTGTGTATGTATAAAAAGTATTGGTATATTGAAATTCATCCGTTCTGAAACTGAATAAATCTTCGCTTCTCTAGAAAAGTCCTTAGTTGAACTCATGATACCTGTTTGTGGCTTCTTAACAATTCGAGTGATTTATTTTTACACTATAACTCGTTTCAGGACGTTTCACTAGTTTTCAACGTCAATAGAATTCTACTTGAAGGTGTATTTTTAGTGACCGATTTTAACACGCAACCACTACAGCTTTATTGATAATTACAAACACATAATATGTAGGATTACTAATACGGTCTGTCTCTTATACACATCTAGATGTGTATAAGAGACAGATATTGAAGAGTTGGTTTGCATGTATGCTCCAAGTAAAATAAAATGAAAAAACAATGAAAACATCAAGCTGGTTCAATGGCACCACCAATAAACTATCGCTTACTTAACCGACATCTTATCATGGTATAATTGTAATTAATTCACCCATTAACTTGTCACTGAACTTATATTTTGTGGTCCAATCAACTAATTGTATTGATAACTTGATTCTGATTGGTTTATTATTCTTTATGTATGTGTAAGATCTCCCAAGTTTTCTCACTTTAACGTTGATGAAGATAGCAGGAGCTATCAAAATATCCGTTTGATTTTGTTATAGCTTAATAAATTTGTGTTCCGCAAGTCAACTTTCAATGATTTTACACCGTTTTTTCATTGTTTTTGCATTTTATATATATATATATATATATACTGTATACATATACACACACGGAACACCAATCAAAGTTGTACGCTTTCATATTACGCTTTTGAAGCAACAAGATAACAATACTGAAGACATAATTTACATAAAAAATGAATGTTATTGAGGTATACTTAAGTATATGATGAAAGGACAAAGAATTCCTGAAATACGGTTCTTTTTAAGCTTGCTGATAGAGACATTGTGTCGAAATATTAACCACTAATATGTAAATAACGTTTCACTTGTTTGGTCTTTAGTTTTTATTACAAAAGTTAACAAATCAAGCTGCAATTATTATGTAGCAGTGTCTGAAATACGTTTTATAATTGCTTTTATTGATATCATGTAAATGTTTGTAACGCTATGATGCAATAAATCAAGATGGAATAATAAGGTATCTTTGAAGACATGACTATGCCTCATTATTTTTATTATGTTAAATATTAGGCTACAGCAAACTCTACTGCAATTGGGTGACAAAATGCCCTAGGACCCTGAACAAGACTTCTTCCGGCCCTAAAATTCTGAGTTGCGAGGGAGGGTGGGGGGTGACTGTGGGCCTTGCATGTTCTGGAAAATAATTTGGTTTTAATATTAATCGTAATTTGACACAGATGCTATAAGTACATAAGTCCTGTGTAATCTCGGGTCACTCGTCCTGACCGCATGCTTCTGTATGTTCATATCCGTGTCTTTTTATGCCTTCCAAGGGCTTTCCTTTCAAATACTGTACAGTATATAGTATTACTGACCATCTTCATCTGTATCTTCATCAAAAAAAATCATTGTTTGTACATAAATGAAAATGATACTGAGTAATGGTGGTGGGTTACCCCACAAGAGAAAAAAAAATCATTAATTTAATGTCTATTATATTAAAACTATATTATATTTGTATATACATATGATATACAAAATATATTTTATATATTTGAATATAAAAATATTATATAGTATTTTTATATTTTAGTATAGGCCTTTAAAATAATATATTTTATTAAAGCTATAACTGAATTTCATAAAATTAAAATATCGTGAAATGTAAAACCTACACAAGGCGGAAAAAACAAATTTTGCACTATTTTGGGATAAAGCACATTACTGTATTGTAAAATGTTTCGGGGGAAAAAGTGGTTTATTAAAGATATAATTCATTTAACATCAACATTAAGCACTTCGTCGAATATAGTATGTACCACTCTAGAAGACATTTAAATATATTTTGAATAAATTATAGTTTTTCATATATTTGCATTTATTTTCTTGACATGCGTTTTGCAAACTCCATTCCAGCATCTTAACCAAATATCTTAGTAGCTTCGTATGATGATTAGATACTTACGATCCTTCCCAGCGTCTCATTTCCGTCGGTTTTAATACAGTGCTTCATTTTTACTAATTTATTGGCTCCTGGAAATCTTAAATATCGACGAAAATTACAGACAGGGCATTGATACATTCATTTAAAATTCACGTCTGCTACGTTAATCTATTTCATTATTTTTTTTAACATATTTAGGCAGGATAACATATACAGACGAGATAGTAACGTTGTTTTTAATTGTCCTGCAAAGTACAATATACAACATGCAAGAAGGCTGCATAAAACAGTACTATTTTTTTTTTTTTTTTGACATGCAAAAGGTTTTCTGCATGTACTCATTGCACATGTAGGACTAGCGAAGTTTAATTTTATGAGTACTGTCTTCTGGTACACCAACTTGTTATCCCTGTAAAGTAAATAATGTTATTAACGAATCACAGTGAACATAACAAAGCACACACACGCACACACACACACATATATCTGTCTCTTATACACATCTTATATATGTATGTGAGTATATATATACATATATATAGGAGTATATATACATTACTGTGCTAATACTGTGTGACTTGAAAAGGCTACTGACGAAGCACATTGATCAGAACAAAAAACAGAGACAGAACCTGGCGGCACAGAGAGTCCTGTATTATTTGTAGGACAATCGAAATGTACTTTTATGAGAATTATTCATTAGTTCACCAACTTTGTATTACCATGTAAAATTATGTACAAATGTTATTGACGATAAAACCCATTAGACGTATTTCAATATAACCGAAAGTTAGTTGTGTTTACCTCTGTGATTTGACAGTGGGCTTCTTCCATGCGTCTCAAATCATGCATCCGGACTCTGCAATCATTAAAATTTTAACATGTAGACTATGATAAAGTTTTGCTTCCTCTGAGCTGCTATTTCAAATTTAGCTGAGCTAATATAAATACCCAATCTTGGGAGCTTTTTTTCTTTTCTTTTCTTTTCTTTTTTTTTTTTTTTTTTTTTTTTTTTTTTTTTTTTTTTTTTTTTTTTTTTTTTTGTTTGTTTTTTTTTGTTTTTTTTTTCTTGTTTGAATTACACATAGAAGTTAGGACCACGGGAAACACCCAATGATCTATTTTGGTGCCTTTCTATTTATGGCCTATATCATTTTGCTTATTTTCAAACCATCCCCATACAAATTATCCAGAGGTTGCATATAATGTATTCACTGAACTTTAGCTATGTTGTAAATATTTTTTGATTATTATTATTATTTTGTTTTTGCAAACGAACAAATTAACTTGCTTGAGGGCCAAATTTGGCTGCGGACCGCATACTAAGAACCAGGGCTATATACAATTAAAAACAAGAAGACTACCTAAAAAACAATAAACAGCATTAGTAACAAGAAGACCAACTAAAACAACAATCAATACAATGTACAAGGAAGTAAAATGGTCATTTTGAATACTGACTTCCTGTTTCATTTTTTTTTACATATTCTGCTAACAACAGTTTTATAGAATAGTATCTCGTTCGATCATGTGAGAAGCACTTTGTTATTCGTGCTGTCGTTGAACCATATCATTTCTTTGAACAGTTCCTTGTGACTGCAGAATTTGGGGATACTGCATCAGAAGGCATTGCGCTTGCTCTCATTGACTGCAAAATCGACATGAAGAACGTCTCTCCTAATTTGTGTTGCCTCTTCAGTATGTACCTGGGAATTATTGTTGTTGCAGTTGTGTTTGTTCAGAGCCAGGATTTAGGTGGCGGTGTAATGCGTAAAGGCCAGGCTTACACACGAGTCTCGGACCACATTTTGAAATGCAAGTTTAGCACAAACACGATAAACTGTACTAAGTGCAACCTGAACAATATGCCAGTGTTTCATGAAATCTTGTATAATATAACTTTTTTCGATCTTCACTATAATACTATCCAATTTCTGGGAAATAACAGTTTCAACGAGACGCCAAACGTTCAAAAAATAAATTTGATCTATAACTCTTTACAAGGGATAGAGCAGGATGCATTTGTAGGGCTGAGTGATCTCCAGGAGCTATATTTGGGATATAATCAAGAGTTACAGCATATTAGAGATCTTTGGTTCCATACGCTAAACTCGTTAAGGGTTATTTCATTCGTAGGTGGCAATGTAGACACCATATATGCTGACGCATTTAAAGGTTGTTGGCAATTAAAAGAAGTGCATTTAGAGGGTAACAACATAGTAAGTATACCCGATAGCCTTTTTCGAAACTTTTCGTATCTCCAACAAGTTTACATTCAAAGGAATAAAATTCAGCGGCTTCCTAAAAATATGTTCCAAAATTCTAATTCCGTCGAGGTGCTTTGGTTTCACGACAACCAGATACAAACTATTTTGACGACTTCGGAATTACAAACTTTATCGAATCTCACCAAACTATCGGTTGGAGTGAATCCCTATAACTGTGATTGTGAGATTTTATGGTTTGCCAGGTGGATTAATAATCCAGGAAATGTCACATTCCTGTGGGTTGAAAACGCAACATGTAACGAGAGTAACACCAAGATTAAAAATGTTGCTTCAAAGTTAAAACATTGTGATTTAAAGGTTGTTATTGTAACAACATGTTTCCTTCTTTTTCTGGTTGTTACTGTTTTGGGATTTTTGTACGCTTTCCGCTGGAATATAAGGTATGACCTTAAGTTATCCCCCTTTTTATAGGTATGGCATCGCTAGGATAGCCAGAAATGGCACTGATGGAGTTGAGTGTGAGATTTTAGCTCCAATGAGGAGCTCTGGGAATTGTGTGCTTTTTAACTTATTGACTGCTTTTTTCACTGCTTTTTTGCCTGATTGACTGCTTTTTCACTGCTGATTGACTTCTTTATTTCTTAAAGATAGAAATGTGTAACGGGCTCTCCGGATAATGAACCGGGAACCTCTCACATTTTAAGCTACATTTATGACTCTCTAAGTAACTATGAACGGATGAAATGGAAACAACATCATTTTCAACATTGAATTAATTATCAGTGTTTTACCCTAGTGGAATTAAATTAACTGCTAATTAGGGATTAATAAGCAAAAACACTTCTGAACGTTAATTATGCATAGTAGACTACATCTACCAGTAAACGCTGGCTCCTCAACAACAATCTGAACAATAAACGCCCCGGGGTGCTTATTCGAATAAAATGCGGTATATTATAATTATTGTATTATATATAAAGGTCACTAAATTATCTGATTGTAATGCCAAATAATATAAAAACAAAGGTATGATTAACAATCAATGCATTCAGGGTGTGGTGAAATGATGGGAGAGGATGATGGAGCTATAGTGTGGCACATTTTTAGAGAGTCTGTATTGACAAGCTGTGGTTATATTCTATTCATTTATTACTTACTCATTAATCTCACAATAAGTAGTAGGGATCTAGGTATTTGAAATAGAGGGGGCCCAGAGAGGGACTTTGACAGATGGAGGGCCTTTACCAGCTCAGCCCCACCGTGGTTGGGGCTGAGGTGAGAAAATATACTATTATGCAGGGCCGTAGCCACCGGTACTGTTGGTCAGGTTTCAACCTGACCACTTTTTGACAGCCCACAAGTTAATTAATTAGGTTTTGAATAGGAAAAAAGGGCTAAAATCCACCTGTATGTTTAGACTCAACCTACTCTCTCTTTGACATAACTCAGGAACCGTTAATGATAGCTTACATTATTATTAGTTTATTATTAACTAGGATGCATTTTTTCTTCAGTTGAAATTTAGTGCATAGTGGGCTACCTTTTATCCAAATCAAGTAGGTCAATTACTACACATGCTTTTGCAGAAAATCAGACTAAAGATTCCATACACTTGCCGAGAACATTATAGGCCTATTCACTTCACTAACTTACCAAGCCAAGACAAACAAAACATGCCTTTATCGGTATATTTATTCCTGATAGTTCTAGTATGCAACATTATTTTCTTTAAATAAATCTACTGTAAATATACCTTTTTTAAACACTCCTCTTAAATACGGGTCAAGTGCGGATCCAGAGTTTACCCTGGCTATCGCACAGATGGGTTCTCATGGTGGGTGGGGTCATGAGAAAAGAGCTAGCTCGTTTTGTCTCTGGAAGACAGATTTTAGATATAGGGTGGGGGGAGTCTTCGGCTTCTCCTTCGAAAAGTTTTTGTTTTCTAGATGCTTTGAAATACACTTCGTGCATTATGAGACGTTCGTTATTGAATACACTCTGAATTTATAGTTTTTCCCTACTTTGCTATAGACAATTAATAATTATGATGATGAAGAAGATGACAATGAGGAGGAGGAGGAAGCTGTGCAAGGTTAATTAACAGGCCCTTTGATGTGAAGTGTCAAGGGAAGCCCGGAGCCTAAGTTAGGGTTGGGAATTTGGAGACATTGTCGTCGTCAAATGTTCAATGCACACAGTCGGACAATAGATGATTTATGATATTTGTTTTGTATAGAAAGTAATATGAAACCCATAAAATATCAGTTAGGCAATTATTTATCTGTCTGTGGAAAATAAACCATATGAATCATACAAAATAAAAAGAATGCAAATAAAATAAAAATATGTGAAAAACATCTACACTAAATCAAAATGGAATATTCACTGCCTGTTGGATCCCAGTTTTAGTATTGGAGGGGTTCTGAAGGCTTTACAGTATAACCAATCCACGTATTTCTGATAGATTGCTGATTAAAATGTAAGATATTTAAGATTTTATATTCAGTACATTCTCAAATGTATCTCATTTATCCAAAAATTACGTTATATTCATGCACCGAAGCAGAAAGTTTTAAGTTTTTTGTTGAATGGTTTTAATGATATTAGGCCTACAGTCTAATATGACCACAACAGAAAGAAGCCCTCTCCTTTAAACGTCTAAACTTTGCATATCTCAATAAACATATACATGTCCTTAAATCAAAAATGAGTATATATAGTATAGAGAATTATGTCTGTCTTTCTCAGAGATATCCAAATTTTAGGAAATTACGTTTTATGCATGCACCGACATGAGAACTTTAACCTAATAACTTTGATATGTATATGTTTTATGTTGTTTGTTAAATTGCGTTTTCTAATAATAATAATATTACAGTCTAATATGAGCACAACATAAGGAAGTCCACTCTGTAAATATTTGGCATAATATTGTACAGAAATTTCGATTGTTTATCAATATCATAATACACATGTTAGATCCAAATCACGTTTTATGCAAGCACCGACGAGGAAAGATTAAACATAATAATTTTGATATGTACATGTTTATGTTTGATTGGTCTTAGTTAATAATGTTCATAGACGTAGATCCCAGGGGGATGGGGATATATCCCCCAATATTTGAAAAGGGGGGATGGTCCATTGTATCATCCCCCCCCCCAATATTTTACTATGTATGGGATAAAATGGAGCTTTACACACTTCAAAAGACTGTCCCAGAAATAATTTTTAATGTCTTATGCGCTTACAAAGATGAAAATTAGCATAATGTATTAATGTTTATAACAAAATTATTTTATCTGGTACCAATATAAGCTCTTCTTTCCTTTGATGTTAGATGTACTTACAAAGCAAGCCACATTTTCACACTGAAAGGTGTGTACGACATCAGTAATCTTATGTCCATTCCAAGAATGTTTAAGGTTTATCGGTTGATGAGGAATTTATTGATTAGGCCTCAAATAGCAAATTGCATCAATTTATTTTGCAAAAACAAGGTTTTCAGCTTCAGAGGGGGGCACATCCAGTGTCCGCACAAGGGCACACATTGGCTCTAATATAAGGCGCGTAACAGGTCTTGGGCCAGGGGGTATTTATTTTCCTGGTTAGTAATTTATCATACCCACCGCACCCCACTCCCCATATAGAAAACAATACGACATAGGGCTTATCTAATTTATAATATAGGCCACACACGTGTGTTTGAAACTAAATATAAGCATTTTCATCATGGTTTTATTTATTACAAACATATCTTTCACCATAAATACACATTGAGGCCCTTCTTCTAGGTTGAAACGATCTATCTTAAATTTTTCTTTCTTGAGTTTGGGACTATTATGTGTTTAAATAACTTAACCTAAAAAAAAACCCTAAAAAGCGCGCAAAACATTTTCGTGTATTTAATTCTAATTTCCTCGGAATTGATGAAAACTCCCTAAAATGTGCAATCTATAGAGGAAATTGGCCTACCGTAACAAGAAATGCGCGCGAAGAATTTGAGAATTTTAGACACTTTCAGAGGATGGACCATTTTAACAAGAAATGAGCGCGAAGCGCAGGAAATTTGGGGGCAATCTGCCCCCTCTCCCACCGCTGACTAACACGTCAATCATCCCCCCCCCCAATGAAAAATACTTTTCTACGCCACTGATAATGTTACAGTTTAATTGAGATTTTCCAAAGATGGATATTTCCCCTTGTCCCCCGGTGTTTTTAATTCTAATTTCGTCGGAATTAATAAACTCCCTAAAATGTGCAATTTTTAGAGGAAATTGGACCATTTTAACAAGAAATGAGCGCGAAGCGCAGGAAATTTGGGGGCAATCTTCCCCCTCTCCCACCGCTGACTAACACGTCAATCATCCCCCCCCCAATGAAAAATACTTTTCTACGCCACTGATAATGTTACAGTTTAATTGCTTAATGTTAATAATATTAAAATTTAATGGTTTACAATAATATTACAGCTTAATGGTTTAATGGCCCCTGAACCCCGACCTGTAGCACTTGCCGACCCCCTAGCCCCAATCACCAGTGCTCGCGCTTCACTCGCAACCTGACCACTTCAATTCTCGTGGCTACGGCCCTCTTGTGGCACCCGGTAGATGGCCGGAAATGACACTCTCAGAATTAAAATTTGAAAATAATTTTCCTTTTTTCTCTCTAATTTTTTTACAATTTTGAAAAATTTAGGGGGTCCCGTGCCGACTGGGCCACCCTTGAATCATCCACTGATTAGTCTAAGAACAATATAGGCCTGTTATAATGGGATTAAACACGCAGGTGGGTACGATTCGTCTATTAAAAATTTAACCCTTTTTTGTCAGTCACCCTCTACTGTTCGTCTTGGTTTCGAGGTTGGTGAGGCCTCGTCGCGACTCCAATATTAGACTCTGCCATGGATATGATCGGGCCGGATTGAATTAAGTCACTTTTTGGTTGAAGGAAATGGTTTAATTTTAGTATTACTCAATGAGAAGGTCATATGGAAATCATAATTTATATTAAATATTGTCTTTGTCATTTTTACGGATTTGTAATGTGTTTTAGGTGCCTCGCACTTACAATACTGCAGCTATACTTCGTCCTGCCTCGCAAGAATTGCAGTTGACTTGATCACGAGGGATGGCTTGCATGAATCGTATGCCACGCTGACTAGCAGTTTGTCCATACCCATTTTGTGACCCACTGGGAAATATTGCCTGCCTAAATTTGGGTTGCGACCCATGGTTTGAAAGACTTTGCTATATGAGTATCAAAAGAATATAATGACAAACTGGCTATAGAAGTTGCTATAATCATGTTTGCCACACGTATCCAGCTAAAAGAAGATATTTGCAATTTCTTCGACATCAAATTTACAATAGGCTTTCACTCCCACATTCTAGTATAGATGTGTGGACCGGCATATTCAGGTAGTGTGTGTGTACCAGCCTAAGCTTAATTGATTGAAATGCTCATCAAATAATTACGTCAGCCAATTTTGTAAAGGTTCTCTCTAGAAATTATTATTATTATTATTATTATTATTATTATTATTATTATTATTATTATTATTATTATTATTATTATGTTCTTTACGTTCATTTAAGTAGAGTCAATATTTTAAAAAACGGGTTTATTAGTAGATTAAGTTCCTCGTATAACAAGTTAGTTCAGGACTATCCATCTTTAGATTTATTTAACTCCAATCTGCACATTTTCCGTCGTAGCGTTTTAGGCGTGATTAGTTAAAATTAATTTTGTTTGTGTTTCTGTTTCTGTCGTCTCGTCCTTTGTTAACCATACTGTAAGTGGCGGATTTGTGTCCGCTGTTGCTTTGGTGAATAAATAAATAAAATAAATAAATAAAAATAAATAAATTATTATTACTATCTCCGCCAGGAGATATATGTTTTCAGTCGTGTAAGTATGTGTGTGCGTGTGTGTGGGATGGGGGGTGGGGGAGTGTAACATTTTGGTGTTTTCGTGTGTTTTTTTGTGCAAAATATCTCAAAAACTACTAAACAGACATAATTGAAAACAGCAGGGAGTGTTAGTATAACCAAATGAAGAAATTATTAAATGTTGGGGACTGTCTGTAGTAGGATGTGGATGTGAGGACCATGTGAGCAAACGTCCTAGACACGATATCTCAAAACTAATCAACTGATATGAATGAAACTTTCGTGAAAGCTTAACCAAGTTACAAGGAAGAAATTATCAAGCGATGGTCACGATCCAAATATGGGGGTCAACTTGAGACAGGGGTGAATCCAGAGATGTCCAAAAGGGGGACCGAAAGTGGGGCCGATCGAGACAACACTGTCCTTGGGAGTCCGGGGGCATGCTCTTTTTTTTTCTTTTTTTTGAGGTTTATTTTATAGAAAGGGCTTTGCAGTGGGCTCTCCACTGAGTGCTCTTATTATTATTATTATTATTATTATTATTATTATTATTATTATTATTATTATTATTATTGCTGCTGTGGTTGTTGTCATTGTTATTTTTATTTTAATTATCAATAACAGTATTAGTTCTACTACTACTAGATATGCACTACTACTATTAATATTACTATTGCTCTTATTATTATTATTATTATTATTATTATTGTTATTATTATATAATTATTATTATTATTATTATTATTATTATTATTATTGCTGTTGTTGTTTTTGTTATTTTTATTTTAATTATCGGTATCATTATTAGTTCTACTACCACTAGATAAGCACTACTACTATTAATATTACTATTGCTGTTGTTAATAATAATAATATTATTATTATTATTATTATTATTATTATTATTATTATTATTATTATTATTATTATTATTATTATTATTAACTTTATCTTTAAACAGGTACTGGAATCAGTTGCGTCTGCGCCGGAAACAGTACGAACGTATAAAGAATGAAGTTGTCGATCGCACTAATTTAAAATACGATGCATTCATTTCGTACGAGAGCAACGACCTCGATTGGGTTCTCAAAGTTCTCCACCCAACACTTGAGAGCAATCCGTACAATTTTAGACTTTGCTTAGACTATCGTGATTTCGTTGTCGGTGATAATGTCGTAAATAATATCACAAATGCTATAAAGCACAGCCGCAAAGTGGTCGTGGTCGTTACAGACAACTACGCCAGAAGCGAATGGTGCCACTTCGAATTAGAGATGGCCAAATTGCGAATGCTGGAGAATCAAGAAGACGTCATGATTGTTATCCAGTTGTCTGATGTCTCACCAGAGAGTATGTCGGTCCTTTTAAAAAAGGAGATGGTCTCGAAAAGATGTATCAAATGGCCTTCGTGCGAAGAAGGGAAAAAGGTGTTCTGGGTGAAGCTGGGCATGGCGCTACAGTCACCAAACATACCGTGTAATAGAGGGTCACGGTATACACTGTAGTCAAGTTTCTAATCGCTGAATCTGAGTTTAACACTGCAATCAATTTTTACACCTTAATTTTTAAATCAAATTGTATGTTTCGGTTCTTGTGTTGATTATTTTCTTGTGTTTTATACATGGTAAATGTTGTTGTTTTGTTCGAAAATGTGTTCGTTTTTATCCCTATGAACTAAAAAGGTAATCTATAATTATCTTTTAGCAATATGATTTTGTCTTATTTGTCTTGTGATTGTTGCTCGTGTTTTTTATATTGCATTGAGAAGTCAAATGAAATTCGATTTGAGTGCAACTGATATTTGCACTGCGATCACCAAGTTTTACCGTACATTAGAACTTTCATGGTAAAATATTGCTTATTGTATTGTTATTAATTACATTATAATTATTTGATATTATAATTAATCAGTCCTGGCGCCAGGATTTTTTGACGGGGCCGATGTCTCCAACGGTGAGGTTGTTCCCGACAGAAGGTCGATTTTTGCAACGATAGCACAAGTGGGCGGGACCAAGGCTGCCTAGAACCCCCAAATAAAGGTCTAAAGGGCGAAGCCCTCGTCCTTTCTTTCTCCGACAATTTAGGGATTTAAAAAAGCTTATTTATTGGATTCTGTAAAAATCGGGTGCAGTGAGTTCCCGACATTAGCCTTCACAATATGCGCTCTATAAGTCGAGCATTACTATTATTAGGCCTATTATTTATTGACTGCAGATTTAATCATACTTACAACAAAGAGTATAGCATTGCAATAGGTCCGACTACCCTGATTTTGTATGCAGTGGCCTAACGCCTATGTGCGTTCATGCGGCGGTCCACAGGGCCCCGAATTCTAGGGACCCCGAATGGGCCCTATCCATAGGTTCCTCAATCTGGCACCCTGACCATAAAGGACTTTGTTGCTGATAAATAACACCATAATGTGTCTGAAATCGACTATAGGGCATATATCATATTATAACGATTAAAGTGAGGGGTCCGATGGGGCCCCCTCTCGGCTCAGGACCCCACCAAATTTGTCAAAAAATAAATTAAAAATGGAGATAAAGAGAAGATTATATTCAGAATTTTAAGTCCTTGTAAGTGCCATTTCCCGGCCATCTAGACGTGCCATAGTAATACATTTTCTTATCTCAGCCCCACAAGGGCGCGGGCAACAGCATATGTGTGTCTGAAATCGACTCTAGGACATATCATATTATATCCAGTGGCAGAATAAAGAGTGAGTTGGGTGGGGAGGGGAGAGCTGCCGGGGCCCCACTAAATTTGTCAAAATATTTTTTAACTGGAGATAAAAAGAAAATTATATTCACAATTTTATGTCTGTGAAGTGCCATTTCCGGCCACCTAAAGCTGCCATATTCATAAATCTCTTACCTCAGCCCCAACCATGGTGGGTCTGAGGTGGTATAGACTCAACTGTGAAAGTCAATCTCTGGCCTCAATTTTCTGGATCCCTATTATATTATTTATTCGTCGTTAAAAACATTTAGAATACCAATGCACATCTAAAATCCCATGATGGAATTGGTGACCGGGACCCAAAAAGGGCCCCAAGTTTCAAAAATACCTCGGCCCCATCGTTACGCCACTGTTTGTATGCACGCAATGGAAGGTTAAAAAAAATTCAAACGAAACCACGAGAGTCGGATTATTTGCAGTTCTGTATACTCTTTGCTTATACTTAAATTTACTCATATTATTGATATCAGGCCTATTATTATTATTATTATTATTATTATTATTATTATTATTATTATTTTCAAAAACAACACAACAGATCGTATCTTCATCATATGCAAAGCCTATATTTATCCAGTATTGTATGACCTTTAACGGCCCCCAACAAGACATGTTTCGGCAGTCTACTACCATCGTCAGTTATCTTATTGCACGCAGGCAATCATTAGTATAGGGGAGTAAAAAGTTAAATGTTTCGCATGCTAAAAAATTGTGGAATGAACCGTAACAATACTACAAAACAAAATATAAATAAAGATGAGGTAAAAACAGAGAACAGATTTATATAGGCCTACAAAATTCATATAGGCCTACACAAATATTTTGTCGTATCGAAAGTCTGAAATTTGTTATTATTATTACGATACTATTATAGAACGAGCCTTTTGGGTCAATCAATTAGGTTTTTACCAGGAAGTTACATGCACACTTAAAAACTGATTCTAGTTTCGATGGGATCAATTGTTTCAATAATATCAAAAACTATTTTAAGGAGACACAATTACTGTTTTTCAAAGTTTATGCTTAAAAGGCCCTCCATATAACAGCATAATGAAAGTAGAATCCCTCCATTCTATACTATTTCTTCCATTATTTTTTGTTTTAGCTTAAACATTTATGTAGAATGTAAAGATTCATATAGGCCTACACAAATATTTTGTCGTATTGAATGTCTGAAATTTATAGATTTACAAATTCAATTTCACTTCAGGTTGATTGCAATTTCCATCTAATATAAGTGTAAAATGCTGAGTAATAACGCTACTTAAAATACAGACCATGGTTTTACGTGGCGAGATTGTGCACAGATCTTTGAATGCACACTTGAAACAACAAGAGTTTTATTGTTGAGTTCTTTCTGGAAGGTGTAAAAAATATATGATAATTTAGATTAATTATACTTTAAATGTTGTTCAATAGTTTAATGACTTTTAAACGTTTTAAGGCGGACAACTAATGTTTACGATTATGTCGGAAATCTAAACATCATTATTCTCACGCTTGAATAAGAACGTATATCATAGACATGAGTTTTGTATTCTTTTCTGGGTACGTGGAGATCGTCATTTGATTTGATAGAAACATTACAAGCAGGAAATTTGAATTTCTTTTTCCTCTTATTACCTAGCATTCTGAAGTTGTAATGGACTTTTCCGGAGTGTCAAGCAAACTTTACAACCAAAAGCCTTTTACGTCTGTCATAGCCAGAAAAGAGCCTGGAATACGCGCATCAAAAACAACCTCTATATATAGTTATTTAGAATACCGAGGAACTTATTAAATTTAGAATGGAATACTTTCAATCAATTAAGGTTTTTTTTTGTTTGTTTGGTTTTTTTTCTCACTGATCAAGTTCTGTAAGACACTAAAAAAATCGGTTTAACAACTACTATAAACAATCTTATTAATATAACAAGAAATATGAAGTTTCATAATAGTTTCTTAAAGATAACGAAAGAAGGCAAAAATGTAAATTTATATTATTTGTTTAAATACAGTTGAAAGTAAATTCTTCATTCAATAATTAGACATATTAATATGTGGATCATTATATAGAAAATGAGACTTGTCATGATGTAGGCTTATGACTATTATAGGACTATTAAAAACATGTGTGTCGACTTTGATGACGATTATGATGGTATCAGAATTTTTTTATATTTGAATTCATCCACGACTATATAATGTTTACTATTGATTATAATAATATATTAATATTGTTAATAACAATTATTTAAAGCGTATAAATGTAAATAATGTATTAATTAAATATATTTGGTTTCATTTATTACATTGTCTATTGGTTGTTTGATATACAGAGCAGTCTCGTAATGCTTTTTATTGTTAAATAATTTTGTTTTTGTTAAAGATGTATTTTTGTGAGAAAGGTATGGAATATTACTCCATTAATTCGGTTGACGTGTATAGAGGGCGGCAGACTAAAAACTACTACTAAGTGATCTGGTGTCAACACACACCATCTGAAATGTTGTCAATGCTGTAATATTATGCGTACATTAATTTTGGATTTAGTCAATAGTTATATGTCAGTAATATTATGTTCGTCGTCAATGCATAATAAATAATAAAATATATGTTTTGCTGAATACACGATCTTCAAATAGGCCTAATTATTTCGATCAATACTCAAAAAATCTATCTTCTCACGATTCATTAAAGATATTCAAGAAAACGTAAAATTATTTTAAGTATTTCTTTCGTCTAAAAAATATTATGAATAATAACTATGTCAATCTAATAAACACATATATATGTTACTCTCAACAATAAAACAACTATAAAATAATATTGCACTGTTCTTTTAAAATGATATAAAGCCGCGGCTCTCCAGACTATCAAATTTTATTTAACAAAAACATGTGACATGCCTAAATATGGTCATAATGACATCACATCATAACCATATATAGGCATATTATGACTATATATGGGTAGACAACTGGTTCTGTGAAAGAAAATCTGGACAAAACTTTAAGAGATGAATCAATTTTATTGCTTTACAAATAATAATTATTAAATGCATTACGAGCCAGATTAAGGACCTTTGAAATTAATATATAAACAATGTATTAATTTGTGATCACATCATGAACTATATTTACCTTCTCCTTTTGTGTTAAATTGCACAGTTTGAGATTAAATTGTAAATTTCTAAACATTAATTAAGTTACATTATTTAATTTTTATGTATGATGTCTTCTACTCTAGGATTATTTACTCTATAAAAAGAAATGAAGCTTCTTAACGACTAATAAGACAAAGCACATATTCATTCAATGATACCAAAGAGTATAGAACTGCAAGCAGTCCGACTGCCCTAATTGTGTATATATGGTTAACCGTGACAGCATAAGCATAAGCATAAGCCTAGCCTAAATTTTTTTGCTTCGAATTTTTCGAATGGGGGGGGGGGCGCCCCCCCCCCGTTGGATACGCCACTGGATACACTGGATATATGGGCCGCCCTTTTACGAACACCTTTTTTACGAGGAGGCACTCTAGTTTGCGGTAGTATGTTTTTTGAGATAGGAATTGCACTCCAACGAAACCCCCGAGAGTCGTCGGTTTTCTTGCAGTTCTATTCTATACTCTTTGCTAATATCATAGAGCCATCGACTAGTCAACACACCCACGACAACGCTACCGGAATATGTACCTGATCATAGTATACTCGGGATGTTGAAATTTCGTAACCCGGAATTTTCGAAACTTTGCCGCGGTCATTTTGAAACCTGAAGTTGTTTTGGTAAGAAAGTATTGTCATATCCCTTGGTGTGCGTTATTTTCATATTACTGACGATCCGTCAATGAAACACAACTGATAAATCAGAACAGGCCAGGAATGCGTCTGTTTTTACAATGTCCTTTTGAGGCGCCTTGCAGCAGTATCAAAGGGGCGAGGTTTAGCAGAAAGGTTCCTTGAATAAACTTGCGCCGTTGCTCAATTTTTTCATAATTTATTGATATTCTTATTTCACAGTAACTAACTAAATTGCATGTTATTTACTAATCATAAAATAACACATTAAAAACACAAAATATGAAGAAAACACACATAATAACTAAAATGTCATTAAAATGTACAAGCGTAATTACCTAATTATTAAATATACGAAAAATAGATTATTGAAAAACATTGAATATTACGAGACATAAAAAGAGCAATTAATATGAAAAAAGGAAGGGAATTCATGATATTTACAAATTAAGTACCGTAAGTGAAAAAAAAAAACCATCTAAATTTAATTTGAAAAAGAGAGACTAATCACATTAGACTGTAGTTTTCAGGGAGATATGTTTTTGTTCTGGCTCCATTGATTTTAGAATGACTCCAGAGGATAACAGATGTATGATTATTATGATGATTATGATAATATGTTTATAATGACTATTGAGAATATGTTCAGAAATATTATATATTAACAAAAGTATATTATTGAAATGAGGTTAAACATAATACTAATTTTTTTTATTTATGACATTTAGTATTTATTGTGATGTAATAATTACTTTTATAATGGAAAAAAATACTCTACATGTTAATGCTTTGAATATGTGGTATGTTTTTTGTCTTTTTTTTTTTTTTCTTTAATTTTGAATAAAGGTGTGCTACCTACTCAAAAGAGAAAAAAAAGTATTTTAATTATTTTTAAGTACACAGGAATAAATTATTTATTCTTATTCTTTTAGGCACATGGCCAAGGATTACCAATAGCGACATAATCGCTGTCCTATTGGAGAGGCGGCAATCCCTCACATGACAAACATATAATGAGGCTTATGGAGTGAAGGTTTTGTCGTGAAAAAATCCTTTAATTTGACTGGATTTGAACCTAGAACCCTGGAATTGGAGCGGGAATCTTAACCGCCAAGCTATTCACCTGACTCTAAATTGATTGCGAACCAACGTAATTACTGATATTGATATACAATATATGATATCAATGTACAAGCAAATACAGACAAAAAGAAAGATATAAAAACAGGAATAAAAAATGGCATAAAAATATCATAATTTACTAGATTTATAATTGAAATAGAATGTCATTATAAAAATATATATGCTATAAAAAAGAGGAAAATTCTGAGGTATAACATTTATTTTTAACTAAAATAAGGTATTGCCGTATAAACTTCTATCTCTGCTGTTCGTCATCACCTCATTTCCTCTCCGTTACTATTAGCACAGCAAAGCCAACGTACAATAACCTTTCACTTATATTTCTCCGGCTTTACAAAACAGCTGCGCGACAGTGTAACAAATTTTTTCTACTTCTTTTGAAACATTAAGCAAAGAATATAGAATTGTAGAGGTCCGACTATCCTTATTTTGCATGCGCGCAATAAATCAATTTTTAAAAGGTACTACCACGGGATAGGGGGCGCCCTATTAGAATTTGAATCTAGTTCGTGGTACTGTACTACTTGAAAACTTGACAGTGGACCTCCTGCAATTCTATACGCTTTGATTAAGCCACAGCCTAGGAAAGGCCCATCATGTTTTTTCCGGTGGCTAATTACATGCGTTACGTCTTTGATCTAGTTTGAAACAGAACTTATCTACTGGTGAGCTGTAAGAAAAATAATATTAAACCGAAGTGAAAGGTGATTTATCGCATCCAGCCTCCAGTAAAGACTATAATAAGAAATTAGTAGAGCTCCGCATAGTACACTATAGGAAAAATATTATACGAAGGTTAGATTTATTTTCCTGAGGGCCTGAAATAAACATTCGAGAGAGTATACATTCACTGACTTTTTGTCAGTGCAGACAGGTAAAAATCGTGAAGATTTCATAACTACGCTAGGCTACGTCCTTGATTATTTAATTCCTTAATTTTCCATACTTAATATTGAATTTGAAGTTGAATTTGAAGAACCCGAACTTTATTCGGGTTCTAATTAACCATGTTTTACGAAAGTAGTTTTCAATTACAATTCAATTTTTCATCGTGGTTTGCGATGACTTCGCGGTGACGAAAAATTTGGTATTTTTTTGCACACGAACCTAACAAAAATCAAGCCAAGCGTCCACTAATTGAAAAATTAGTGGACGGTGGGGAATAGGCAAATAACATTGAGAGTTGCAGTGATGACGTCACGATTGACTTATAATAATAATAATAATAATGTTGTATTTATATAGCGCATATTGCACATTGCCCCTATGCGCTTTACAGAGAAATAATATAGGCCAACTGAGAAAAAGCAAATAACAATAAAATAATAACAATAAAATAAAATAAAAATAATCATAATAACAATAACAATGAGACTAAACTATCATGAAAATAGAGGACGCTTTTCGAATTTTTAGCTGGATATCACTTTTTTGTGTACTGTATCATAGTCTTAACTATAACAGTAAGATGTATATAATATAAATAATATACAAATATGCAACTATTTGTTTCTAGCCGTACCTATTGTGTAATGGAGTGTATCTGGCGGTATTTCAACCTGTGAACCATGAAGCCTCCGTGGTCTAATGGTTATGACGCTCGCCTTGACAGCGAGAGGCCGCAGGTTCAAGTCCCGCCAGAGGCATTTTATTACACAATTTCTTTATTCGTTTATTTACAGGACTACATTCTTTGCAAGCTATGCTACACGATGTATTATCATGTCCTTTATTCGAACACTGTATTTACATTTCTTTGATGATTTATATATATATATATATATATATTGCCAAAAGAAACGATTTAACATCAGACAGCTAATATTTTCAAAAACAACACAACAGATCGTATTTTCATCATAGACTAAGCATATATTATGGCCTTTATGGCACCAACAAGACATGTTCCGGCAGTGCTACTCCATCGTCAATTATCTATTGCACGCAGGCAATCATTAGTATAGGGGAATGAAAAAAAAATCAATGTTTTGCATGCTAAAAATTTGTGGAATGAACCGTAACAATACTACAAAACATAATATATATAAAGATGAGGTAAAATCAGAGTACAGTTATGCCACAAAGGGGAGAATGGAATGAATTTAGAATGACGAAGATAAATTAGATGAAAAAACTGGTTGTTCAGTGAGGGCTGCTACCACTGAATACGCAAGACTTCTTCAATTTTGGAGAATTTGTTTTGTAGAGGCCTCATTGGCTAATTGTTTACAATGACGTGAACTCAAATGCTTTAATATATGCGAGTTCCTATCCAGTGTTTAGGAGCTCACGCATGAGCGTGAAGAATTATCTGCTTGTCTCGCCAACGTAACAAACATTACAGCCTGCACATACAAACAACATAGTTGGACAGGCTTTCATTCTCATATTAAGGTATTAACTACCATCCTTATGAAAAATTGCTTTTCTTCATTTATTATCGATCAAATAATGTTTTTGTTATGTTAATTCAATTCAATGTAAAAGTAAAAGTACACTGGAAAACACTGACGAAAATACACCGACCACTTTTTATTTCAAATTACCATATGTTGGCACATTTTCCAAAGTCGTTAGCAAGAAATTCCGTGCCTTATCGAATGAATTTTGTAATGATGATGACTTAAATTTAAAAATTGTCTTTTCCTCATTTAAATTTTAAAAATTGTTTTCAGTCTGTTGGTCTCCGTTCGCGTGTCGTTTACAAATGTGTGTGTGCCACTGTGACCACTAGGAAAAATCAAACTTCCCAAGATTCAGCTTAAAAAATCCCAAGATTGCTTTAAAAATCCCAAGATTCGCAAAATATTAGTGTATATATACATACAATTTCTTTTAAATGTTCAATTTTAAAGCTTTACCAATGAATTGCATACTGTACTGAATAACGAAACAATGTCTGGATTTTCGAGACCAACTCGTTCGTTTTGATTCAATTGTGTATAATTTTCTGAAGTTGGGGAGGGGGGCTGGTGGTGGTTGGGAATGTCTTATCTGAAATTAAATTGAATTATTAAAATCATATACATAAAAATCACAGGGCAATTGCCTTTATTTTATTTGTATTACACAGAAAATATTC